ACAGTCATCTCTTATTTGCTTGGGATATCTTCTTCACCGCCACTATTCGATACCAGGAGCTTTTCAAAACACGATATCTGTATATGTCACCAGGTTTCCCTCTTCATCTCTACAGGAGGATGTGCATGCACCAAAGCCTTCGGTTTGGTGTTTTGCTCGTTGGTAAAATTTCCGGACTTCGTTCTGACGCCTGTACATCTCGATTCGATCAAGCTCACGTTTTTCTTGTTCATTCTTTTTTTTCTGAAAATACGTTTCCCCTTTTCTTCCGATAATTTTCCATCGAATTACGTGTTGCTACTGTCTGCAGGGTTGTCCTATACGGTACGTTTTTCACATCAGTAGCATTACGACACTCCTGATCGTACCACGGGCTTCTTGAGTGGGAGGGAGCGGACAATACTTTGCCATAGTGATTTTATATTATTATTGGGACAAGGAGTGCTTTCGTCAATTAGGTGGGTACGTTTAGCGGAGTAGGCTTTAGCTGCCTTTTGTGTATGCAGCTTCTCAACGTCGAGGTTGGAGTGTTGTGTTGACAAATATTGCCTTGCGGCAATATTATCGGTTTTGTGTTTCTTAATCCGCCCAAGCGAAAACTGCGCCTCTTCTCTTCAACGTGCGTACATTCCAAGTACATATTACCATATCGTGGTCCTTTATACATTATACGTCCCCTACGTCAACCGGAAATGCGCTTAGAACCGTCAAAAATACACAAATTGAGTCAGGTCCCTCATATGAAGACTATGTCAGAAAATGGACTTATATTGAAATCACAGTCACTTTAGTTAGAAAACGTGAATAAATTCGTCAATATACCGAAAATGCAGCGCTGCCGTTACGAAAGCTATATAAAAACGTCGAATTGAACAAGTTCGAAAAAATCCTTCAACTACAGCGACTTCGATCCACTCTTGTTTTAAAAAGTGAACTGATACATATATCGTATCTTTTTTCAATACCAGTTGCAAAATTCCAATGGCCTATGTTAAAAGAAATTTTTTACTTCCTGCTTAAAATTGTCTTTGTCATTACATTTTACTTAAAATATAATTAAGAAAATAAATTTTCACGAACATGTCCCTTTAAGGCCATAACAATTTCCCTTCCTCATTAACACACATAAAATACCTGTTTTTCAATTACGCTTCCCTGGTGGTGCTAGTGCTCCTTTCATGGAGCTCACCATAAATGAACGAGCTCATTGATGTTGACCATAGTACTAACTACCACCATTCATTCCTTTTTGTTGTCGTATGGCCCAACCATTTCCTACACAACGACCTTTTTTCCCAGAATCGGCAATATTTAAAGTATACTTTTAGGCTTAAAAATTAATTGTCATTTTGTTTACTTTCATTATCACCTCGTGTTATCACATTTAATCAATATTTATCCTCATGCTGTACTCAACTTATTTGTTGTGTTTTCAACTTTTTTATAATAGTCTTACTGTGTATGCATTGTGTGTGTGTGCGTAGGTATTATTTTGTTGTCCTCTTTATTCATCGTCTTCTACTTAATTCCCCTTTTAACCATAAAAAATCAATTCACATTATGTGAACCTCAATTTACCAAACGGTTGGTGGTGGCCAGTCAGCCAGAATAACAACTAACTACTGCCTGCTGTCCCTGTTGCTGCCGACTTGATGGTGATGAAGAGGATGATGAGACACAGTCCGGACAATCATGCTCGTGTCCTTGTTATCTTAACTTGGCTATGTGTAGCGGCTGTTGTTATAGCTCCTGCCGTCGCTTGTCGTCTTCTACTTTACTGACATTTAATGTCAACTAAAAAAATACAAAAAAATGGCAACAAAATCCAACAACAAAAACAAAATACGGAACGTGGTCATTTTTAAAAATTTGGTATTTAACATACAACAACCTAGTCACTTAAGTTTAATCACAGTGGGGGAAATTTTACAAAAAACAAAAAAAACCTTAGTCGTCTTAGAAAAAACTGTCATTACCATCCTAAAAGTAGTTCAGCCAAAACTAATCGGGTTTGTCTAGGCATCTCATGCTCTTTTGCTGCGAAAGATAGGGGGTGAACACCAAAGACGGCATTCACTCAGCTGTGATATTCTTCATATAGAGTCTCTCTTGTTTATCGTTTAACCTTTCTCTCTAGATCATGTAGATCCTTCATGATCTATCCATCGAATTCGTTGGCTTCCCCTTCTGATTGAACCATCAGAAGGGGAAGCCAACGCTTTTATATGCCTTTTGAGTTGGGGCATCCTGATCCATTCTCAGTTGCTGCAGCTCGATTTCACTGACTATGTCGATGTCCGAGAATAGATGGTACAACACATGGTTCATTTCATGGCGACATTCACCGTCGACGAAGATCGGCCCATAAATCCCTCGGTGAATTTTTTTCTCAAACACTCCAAGAGCTCCCTCAACTGCTTTCACAAGTACCCATGCTTCTATATACAGCACAGGTAGTATCGGCGTCTTCTAGAGTGTATCCAAATTGTTTACATAGACCACAGTAGCATCTGCTGGCCAACACTATTCTTCTCGGATATCAAAAACTTATGTTATCAGTTTTGTTGAAGGCGGTACCGATGTATATAAAATCGTTCACACTCTCCAAACTGTAGTTTCCAGAGTAGGTCCGAGTATACTGGACGTCTTGCGCCTTGATACTATCAGCTTGGCCTTCTCGTCATTTATTGTCAGACCCTTTTTGGCAGACCCCTTCTCAATTTGTTCAAAGGTAACTGTTACTGTTCTCGATGTTCGTCCCATTATGTCGATGTCGTCGACGTAGGCAAGAAACACATGCTGTTTGGTATACAGAGTTCACATTTGTATCTCGTATTACCTTTTCCAGCAGGATGTTACAAAGGTCTCATGACAAACTGTCAACTTGTCTGAATCCCCGTTCGGCATTTAAGGGTTCCGAGTGGTGCTTTCCCTGAAATTTAATGTATCCTTCATAGCCGTAGCATAATTTAGCTGGAATGCGGACTACATACGCCTTTGAGCAGATTGGTCTGTCGAATGCGGCTTTGTAGTTAACGAATAGGTAGAATATGGCGATATATGTTTCGTGGGTCTTTTTTCAAGATTTGGCGTAGCCGCAGGGTTGAAGCCGCATTGATATGATCCTATAATATCATTGACCATTGGCTTCAGTCGTTCGCACTATACGCTGGATAGGACTTTATATGCGATGGGAAGGAATCTAGTTGCTCTACAGTTGGTGCAGAATGCTGAGGTTCAAATTATTAGGAATGCATACTCCTGATCAGCGTCTGACTACCTGTCTTGAGTAGTTTGGCTAGTAATCCGTCGGCACCTGCTGCTTTATTATTCTTCAGCCGATTAATTGCTATTCTGACCTTATCTTGGCTAGGTGGTATACAATCTATACCGTCATCTCTACTTGATTCTGGGGTATCATCTTTACCTTTACTATTTCAAACCAAACGAAAGATGGTGTTCGGAATTGTATGCCTCTCGTCTTACACATTACCTGACATTTTCATATCCGCTGTACATGTGGTGAAAAACGTGGTCGAAGATTTCTAAGATATTTTCATATTCGTCACATGGAAGAAGGCTGGTTAATCGGCCAGATATGCGTTAATGTCCTCACCGACAGGACTCAACATCATGGTCGTACATGCATGTTCATACGTTACGAACTCTATGTCATCTGGAGGTATCACTCCTGGCTCATCCAACTGTCTAAGCATTATCGTAGGAATTAAGTCAGTGGCAAACGATAAAGGCTGTTAAATGGGTGAGATAGGCATATGTCCTCACCGAAAGGATCCAACGCCATTATCGTACATGCATGTGCATACATAACTAACTCTATGCCGTCTTGAGGTATCATTACACCCTGGGGAGCTCCCTGCGAAGAACAGTTTAGCATCCTTGACAGTATGAAAGGCTCTTGATATATATATATATATAACCCAAGCTCTACCGGCACTAGTATGTGACATGCCCCGTTCTGATTAAGTCATCGATTTATATGTGTGGATATGTCATGCAACATTGTTACTATAGCTGTTCATAATGCTGGGAGGAGTAATTCCTCAAAAGTCCTCACTACTGGCGACAAAGGTAGGATGGTCACCTTGTCCATTGTCCAAACTTCGGGAACTCTGTGGCCGACTATAGAAAAATTATAGACTTTAGTCAGATACTCAACTCCCAGCTCATCCAGCTGTTTTAACTTTACCATAGATATTTTAACCGGGCACAATCCTTTAGATGGTTTAAAGATACGGATGTCACTTGCAACATCGTCCACTGTAAACTATACTAGTATATTCTCAGCCGAGAAATCGTATACGATGTGGTAATCTTCACTTCGCCGTGTCAGAATGCCGGTCAAGTTTCCGTTATTTCTCAAACCGGATGACACGATGGTTATATCTGCTGTGACAATATTCTTTACGGATCGTGATCCTCTTATGATCTTTCTATAAACGAAAGCAAGTGCGTTTACATTCGACCAAAGTTATTATTGACACATTTGAGGGCGTAATGACAAATCTGATATAATCCTTTGAAAAAATTTCCAAAATATTATCAATCATTAATTAATCAGATGATTTTCGACGAAGGTTCAACGTAACTTGCGCTTAGCTTCCCTAAACCATCTACATTATTTACTGATGCCTCTCTATTGGGCGCCAAATAAATACCCAGCTTCATCATTTCTGTAAATTCCATTTCTAACCGCAAACTTATTTTCGGGAATTTTAATTTCATTCCACTTTTACCCCCACTGTCCTTTTCAGGAAAACTTTTGACCAAAGCCATCATAGGCTGCTAGCTTGTCAGAGTTGGTGTTATGCTTGGTTGGTTGCCTGAAATGTGTCTGTTTTCGCAACGGGAGTTTGCCACAGTACACAATTGGATGTGTGTGTGTGTGTGGTATTATACATATACTCATACTCGTGTGTGTGTGTGTGCCTGTGTGTCCCTTTCAAAAGAGAAATTGACTTTTCATTGCTCATACTTACATCCACTGATAAACCATTCGCCGTCGATGTTGAGAATATTTTCCATGCCGGATTCTCTTTTGGCGTATAGCGATAAAACTCACGACGTCCACGATACCATTTAACCGTGTACAGAGTGTCATTTTCAATGTCGTAATTACAGATTAAAATCGCATTATCACCACGTTTAACAGCCAACGGTATGGTTACGCTGACATTACGCAAAGCCAATGTGAAATCTGCAAAAAAAAGAAAAAAAGAAGAGACAAAATTTAAAAAAATGTCGAAAAAAAAATGTTTAAGAAAAAAAATTTTTGGTTTGTTTTTTTTCTTTTTTCAAAAATTAATGATGAAATTTTACGTACTATATGTAATACAAGGACAACGTCATCATCGACTTGCCATTAATATCAATAGCCTAGCCTCATTTCGGTAAACAGCAATAACAACAACCAACCAACCACCCAACAAAACACTTCAGATACTAAATGATTTTTTATCGCAAGTAAAACAGTCAGGCAGCCAACCAGTCATGCGAACAACCAACCAACCAGCCATTCAGTCAAGTCAGTTTGCCATCGCTAAGCTGTGCTGAAGTCAAGGAATCAGCCTACATATCAGCTTTTAACAATTTTCCTTTAAAACCCACCCACTGGGCTAAAATGACTTGGCATAACCTTTTTCTCTCTCTCCAATACAAAAGTGTTGGCCAAACGTAACGAGGTGTTAATCGCCAAAGGACTCAACATATGTTGTTAAGAGTCAATAAAGGTTATTTGTATTTTTGTTGTGTTGTTGTTACTGTCCTGCCATGTCCTGCTGATATTCATTGAAAAGTTATTGATTTTTTTGTTAATTCCTCAACGATTTTATGGCTTAAAAATGAGCATAAAATGGCAAATCTTTTAATGTGCTCTTGTCTCCTTAACGGGCCAAGGATAAAATGCACAGGATGCATTTAATGCATTAAATTGTTACATAAGTATGTTGTGCTTGAGGAATTTATTTTTTTAATGGCCGAAAATATAATGGGGAAAATTAATAGTGAATAAAATTACATTTTTATAAATCATATGCAAAAGAATTTATTTTTCTGTAATGCATATAAGATAGACAATCAATGTCATAAACGTTTTAAAATTTATTTTTTGCTCTAATTTTTTATATATATTCAACTTGCTGTTTTGATAGTGAATCTGCAGTGGTACAGCGCTTTGCATTGATGGTACGGATATTAATGGCAACGCTGAGGTCCCATGCACGATGACGGCAAACTGAGTTTGTCGGCAGCACGAAAAACTGAAAAGCACTCTGATGTTGGTAGCAGCATAAGGATCGATGGCGTCAGTCTGATACAGTGATCGCTTGATACAGAAATACCCCTATGTACGGTAAGGCAACAGGGAATGACATAAGCCACACTCAACTCAGAAAACTTCAAGTACATAACCTTAGGGCTATCAGAAGGGCAAGGACACGTTATAAACCCAACTTAGCACAACAGTCATCAACGCATTATGTCTTTGTGCATATGTTTGTAACAGGAAAACTCAAAGAGATAGACACATGGTTCATTTTTAGAATATGTATAGAATCACTTTCTAAGTCGATTTATGCATATCCGTCCGTCTGTCCATGTTAACTTGTAAACTATATACAGGTCGCATTTATGATCCAAATTAGATGAAATTTGGCATAGAGCACTTATTTGGCCCAAGGACGAATCCTAGGTGTTCGAATTGTGTTGCTTTTCATTTTAATTATACCCGGCCCGGCCCCCGAGTTTCTTGTATCGCAAATTCAGATTTAACAAAATGAGCTTTTTTTAATTTGGCATTTTTTAAACAAAAAATAGTGCGGAAAGGGAAAGAACTAAGTCCCAAAATTACTTCTGCCGTATATATTATTGAAAACAACGTATACATTCAAAGTGGGCATTGAGACAATTTTATTGTGTGAAAGGGAAGACATCGCCTTGAGGGAAGTAGTGCCTCCTGAATACTGTCGGAAGGTTCACAAAGTGATACCAGTACCCAAAAAGTGCGAATAGTATAAAAAATTTTAGACCTGTTGCTATTTTATCAGTCCTTGACAAAGTTTTCGAAAGAATCATTTCTGAACAGATAACAACATATATTGAGGAAAACAACATTTTATTTGCAAATCAATTTGGTTTTAGAAAAGCCTGTGAAACTGATGAAACTGTATTTCATATTTTTGAACATATTTGCAAAGGACTAGATTCCGGATTCAAAGGAGTTGCTGGAGTATTTTATGATTTCACCAAGGCGTTTGATCTCGTAGATCATACGATATTATTTACTAAATTGAAACGTATTGGATTTGCACCGGGATACCTTGTTGTTAAAAAACAAACTTTTTAGATAATCGTTTTCAGTTCGTTAAAGTCGGCAATACAGAAAGTAGCTGGATAAGCGTGAGAAATGGCGTTCCGCAAGATTTTGTTCTCGGCCCAATATTGTTCAAACTTTATAGTAATGATTTAAATAATATGCATTTAAATAATGTGAGCCTATTTTGAGAAAGTACTGCAGGTGCAAGTTGCATACTACTCATGCTTATTGGCAGAAAATGCCAAGCTAAATAACATGATGCTAAATTCATAAAAAAACTAAATTTATTTGTTTTAGACCTCACATTGGTGGATATGTTATGTCCGTGTACATAAATGGAGTCCCTATTAATGAATCAAGGTAGATTAGATATCTGGGTACAACTATGAACAATAATTTGATGTGGAATTCTCACATCAAATTAAACTAAAGTTTCTTCTGCAACAGGGACTCTACGGAAGTTTAATCGTTTGTTAAGTACAGATAGGAAGCTATTGATATTCTTTGATCGAATATATGCCTATAAAACAATAGCTTGATCAACGAGCACAGAACACTGCATTAAAAATTTGTTTGAATCTACCAAGGCGTTATTCTTCCCAGCAACTTTTTAGACGCAAACTCAAAACTATTCTGCCGATAAGAGGATTATATATGCAGCAAATATTGACGTATGTTTTCAAGTGTACCAGGAACACATGTGTAAGATCATTAGATTTTGATAGAACTGCAAGAAATACACGTCAATCCGACCAACTTCATGTTGTCAGGTGTTGTTTTGAGACCACTAATCAGCGAGTTGGTTTTACTGGGCCAAGTGAATACAACAATTTGCCGCTTGAAATAAGAAACGCAAATTCTATTTCTGCTTTTAAAACTAAATTGAAAAATATTTATTGACAAAAATAGACACACTTCTTTCTAATTCAATTTTTTTTCTAAATTTTATATAAAATGTAATTTCTATGGTTTCCAGTATTGCCCCTATAAAGCGTTTTTGGCGCTGGGGCTTCAAATGTAAAATATACTAATGAATTGCAATAAAAATAAAAAAATTGAGTCTAGAAGAAAGAGTCAGTAAGAAATTGAGTCAGTTTTAGATATAGCTCCTATATAAGTTTATCCGATTGATACACTATTTTGCACAATGAACTGAATTTTTTAACTGAATCACCCATGAGATAGGGATTTTTATTTCCAATAGTTGCTTCGAATTCCCACAAAAAAATTTTAAAAATGTTGTATAATCTTAAGTAATAATGTTCGTGGGACGAATTTTTAGGTTTTCTGGCGGGCCATGAGCTATTCAAAACAGACATTATATAATTGAATCTGTAAATCGCTACTTATGCACACAATGAGTACACACCCAGATCATACAAATTCTAGACGATGTGAGAAGATCCAAGTAGGCAAAATCCATGCACAAGATGAGCTGCAAATATTCTAGTCGTAAAACGTGACATGTTTTTATTTGCTGCCAATATAGTAAGTAAATTTATCGGAAGCCGATTCCACTAAGAAATCAAACCAGCCAAAAACCATCTATGACACAATGTATAAGATTAACTTCTGCTAAAATGAAATAACAGTCTATGCTGAAGAATTTACAATATTATCATCTTTCCTCTGATACCGCATTTTCACTGTTTATCCAAAAACTATCGGCTACCGAAGTGAGTTGCTTTCATCTAAAGCATATTTATAAAGGCGAAAAATGTACAGTTCGTATCAATGGGTCTGTACTCGCCCCCACAACATTAATCGAAATGGAAATACTTGGGAATAGACCTTGAGAGAACCCGATTTTTTAAACCACACCCACAAAACCAGGTCTAGAAACATCTTCTAGAAAATAGCAGGAATATTCCACAGTCGAATTGACACCTAGCTAAACTCCACTATAAGGGACAGAATGGCTTCTAATGTTATCGAACATTCATTCAATCTCCAAATTTAGCAAGACCATATGAATCCAGACTGAAAAACATAAAACAGAAAAACTGAATTCGACCTACCACGCAAACCATGGTGTAATTTAAATCACCTCAAATTCATGCATATTTCAAATTATGTGAAGTTTTCTTCTTCCTCCGTAAATATAATTTATGTTTGAAAATCGAGAATGTGGTCCCCTAGCATTATTATTTTTTTCCCGTAAATATAATTTATGTTTGAAAATCGAGAATGTGGTCCCATAGCATTATTATTTTTATAAACATTATAAACCCTATTTTAATGTCCAAGAAATCGAGTAAAGTAATTTATTACTTCTATGTCTAAAAATAATTAGTTGACAGTAAATTCCCTTCTTAATAAATTGTCATAGCCAAATTCGAATACACTGATTAAATGACATTATATAATAAATTACTGAACAACAGAAACCAAAACTTTATTAATCTCTCAGAATACCAAGAATTATTTGTAGCATAATTTTAGGCTTGACAACTAATTATAATTAGCTATCAACTTTTCTACTATTCATTAAATTGTTTCAATTTCCCACACTACATAAAATATATGTACAAATAATTAGGAAGGAAATTATGTATGTGTGTTCCACACACACATATATACATATATAAGAACGCACACTCAATCATCTTACCAAAACATAAAACAATAATTAAACACAACTAACAAATTAAACAACGACCTAAGATAAATGTTCAGGCAAATATGCCTGAAAATCACAAAGACAAATATACGTATTTTGCTAATCTTTGACTTTCCAGATAGCTAAATAATATGATGAAGAACAAGAGGAAATATTTCCAATATTTGTTAATCTCCCGTGAATACATATTCATAAATTGAATGATAACAGAATTGAAATGGTGAAAAGTTGGGGGTGGACATTCCTACAAAAATACATATTTATT